CATGTAGACGCTCAATTCCACAAGCACTGGTTCGAGACACGCATACGTGGCATCATTGTGTTTTAGCGGAATCCCCAAGTGCACGCTGGATCGATGCGACTAAACACAACGCGATGCGACTTAACCCTTGAACCCAGTAATGAAAACCACATTGCCATAACGGCTTATGCACCTCGCAATGCAACAGCACCATATCACGGGCCGTTCTTGGTTTGCGCCAAGGAACCGTTTGCAATCATGTCCTCCATCTTTTCCCTGCTGACGAAATGGTATTCCACGCCATCCTGGCCACGTGCACGGGGAAGTACACAAAACTTATTCGGAAAGCTCTACAAGGACCATCAAGGACCCATACTATATGGCTATGTGTTGATCTTCTAGTGATTTCGAAGGCCTACAGCACCCGTCGTGAAACCAGAAATGAACCTCGTTTGATGCCGAGAAGCGGTCTCGGAAGCTCGTGGCTCTCGAGTGGTGTGGGAAACCACCAAACCAAACTGGCTGCCTAACGTTTCATGACCTTGGTGCTGCTCTGCACATTCTTTTGTCATATCATCTTTTGAACATGTTTCAAACAACGACATCGCCATGAAATGAATGCAGCGAAGCGACCCAGCAAGTGTTTCACCAAAGTGCTCTTGCCCACGCCAGAAGGCCCGCATAGCACCAGCAGGCCGCCTGCCAGCAGCATTGTAAGTTTCCACGTGTCGTGTAGTGAGTGTGTCCGAATGCCTGGCACACCCGGCTCCGCAGCTGAACTGGCCAGTCGAGCCGTCCATGATGGGGTCGGGTTCTTGGATGCATATCAAGAAAGAGTCGCATGTTTGCTGGTGATTCAACAACCGGGTCCTTGTCTCGTATGCGTTTTTTCCATGTTCGCAATGTCGCTCCGATCACTGCCGGCACAGTGGCCCGGGAACACCTCAGTGCCAAGCACTGGCTGTGTCACGTCCAGCAGAGTCATGGCAGCTTGTACCTGTACCGGTTCGTGTGCAGGATGCAAGAACTGAGACGTCAACGTTCCAATCTGTGATGCACACGCCCGGTGGTGTGGTGCACTAACGCGCTGGGGTGCACCTGCACGGGCAATCTGTGAATGATTCACGGCATGCACAAGCAGCCCATATCAATGCATGGTAGGTTCGCAGCTATCTGCCGTCACCCTTGGAACGTGTGCCCCACCCGTTGCCGCTCCAATTTTTGCGAATATCGAATTATATCGAAATAATTATTCGACCGATCACACAGCTTCGTACGGCGCAAAACAGCCTGCCCACCGTTACACGAACATTTGCTATTGGCCTTAACGTTGAAACATTATTCTTTTTGTTTATTTAACCTTCTGCCACCGTCAGACGAAATCAGCAGTGCCTACCTCCCACCCTGCGAGTACCGCTGTCCGGGGGCTTTCGTTTTCTCCATCCCCGAGGTAGCACCGAGGTCCGCAAGTGTCTGGCGCTCAGCAAGGGCCCGGGTGACCCTGGCATCTTCCCGAGCATGAGGGACCTAGCTGCGCCCTTAAGAGTCAAGGTCCAGAAACGCGCTCGCCTCCTGTGCCGGTCCCGCAGAGCGAGCTCTCGCGGGTCTGCCAAGAATCCGGAGCTCGGGTTGTTCGCAATGTGTCTCTGTCGGCGATGAACCTGGACATGCCGATCCACGATGCCCGGCTCATAAAGATCGTCTTCAGCCTGCTGCATGGGTGCTCCGGTGGAGTGGCCTCATCGCGCAGCGCGCGCTTGCAACCACGTTCCCCGAGCCCCCCATGCAGACCGAGCTTTGTGCGGCCGGCGCCGGCTTTGCACGAGCTCCTTTCGTTTGCCCGATGGCAAACCGGGCCGCAGCCGGCCAGTTTTTCGACGCTAACCTCAAGCTTGCTCTCTTTTGGCAGGAAGCAGATCTTGCTGCAACCCAGCAAAGCTCTCTCCGCCGCCTTCTCGGGGATGCTGCCGCCGAAGTCGACACCTGACGTGGCACAAGCGGCACGGTGTTCGCCGTACACATCCGCGCTCCGCGACACAAGCGGGTGCGTGGGCCAAGCAGGACTGGGAGCCGGAGCCGACGGAGGAGATGGCAGGACCGCGGCCCGGCCTGCGAGAGCAGCAGCGCACGAGAGGCTGGTGACAGATCCGCAAGGTGCGTCTCGAGCGCGGGCTCTTCGCTGGTATGGGGAGCGGTGCGTTGCCGCCTCGCCAAGTAGGAAGGCAACTGCCTGAATAGCGGCGAGCACCGAAGGCATGCGGCCAGCTGCAGGGGCCTGAAGGGATGCCGGCCGGCAGTCCACGACGCCGGAGGCTCGAATGCGGAGGACGGCGAACACGACTTTGCCAAACTGGACGACCGGAAAAGTACAAATCCGCCTTAGATGTCGCGGGCTCTACACAAAATTTGACAAACATGTGGCAGCGTCGCTGTATCCAAACATACTGTCTTCGCACGCGCTAAGCGCTTGTAAGACCATATATCTGTCCATGTGTTCTTACATGAGGCTTGCTGACTGACTGACACCACTGTGCACATGAACATGCCCGAATTCGTGCGCTGGACTTGCTCCGTTACACGCTTACAACCGGACCCCTTTTTTTTTGGCTTTATTGTTGCGCTTGCACAAAAAAAACCACTGCTACGCAAGTCTCATCACCACCACTCAGTCACCACACGGTCCGGTTTTAGGGTCGCAAAGGCAGGCGGCTGGGCCCTTCGCCGGCGGCGATGTCGAGCACTGGCCTGCCCGGCCGGGCGAAGTTGCCACAGCCTGGGCTATGGTTCAGGGTGAGCAGCGACGACGAGGAGCTCCTATCAGCACGCCAACCAGGCGCTGGCCGCGCGGGTCGGGCGGTTGTGGGGACGGTCATGATGGCCATGGACGGCCCCGGCCTTATGCCTCGCGAGGAAGCGCATGACCTGCCTGCATCACAGCAACCAGTCATTGTACAGGTCTGATGCCGCTTACAGCGCGCTGGGATGGCAAGTCCCTCCACACACCGTCGACGCCCCGCCCCCCTCAACGTCGCAGAACGACGTAAGCACTGCACGTACCTTGAACTCGCGCAGAGCGGCCTGCAGAAGCTCATAGGTGGCCGCTGTAACACTGCTGCGCATGGTTTTGTCCGGGACCTGTTCCGGCTCCACGGGACTCCCAGATGACCCTTGCAGCGTACCGCATGTGTCAATACCGACTGCGTGAATGATGGTCGGCCTGTCCGCGCTGCAATGCGTCTGTCATTTCAGGACTTGTTGGCTGCGCGTAAGCACAGGAACGTAAACCTTTCCAACGTATTGCTCAAACAGCTGAATCAAGCCGAACTCTCTACAAGCAAGCTGTGGCACAGCACCAACACGTGCTCGACGCAGTGCAGTTTATGTAGAGCTATGTGGCCAGAAACCACAATCTGCCGATGAATATCTCGCACGGTGTCGGATTGCATGATGTCAGAGCTTGGAGAAGTGTGACGTGTGCGAGAAATTGCTCGTGCAGATTGTCGTAAGTTACGCCAGCTCAATTGGGATCGTATGCAGCATGCTTGTCGTCAGATGGATTCTTCTGCCGCTTGTGGGCCTCACAAATGCTATGTTTCTTTCCGAGTCTTCATTCGAATGTCGTTTCGGCGGCCTAAAAGTTGGGCACGACTGCAACATGATGGGTTATGCAGGACATGTGTCATTCTCGCAAACCGGGTCGCCACACTCAACGCGTTAGACTTTGGACCCTAACACGTGCTAAGTCTCAACCCATGCCAGGGTCGCCTTCAGGAGGAGTTGTGGTGTCAGCGTCCAAAAGGCCGATCTGAAGTTTTGGTTGCCGCCGACCTCGTTGTGGCATCTAGTTCGCCTACCCTTGCACCTACCTTACGGCACAATTCTTATTGACAGATAGGAGGCCATCCATGGCCATCATGACCGTCCCCACAACCACCCGACCCGCGCGGCCACCGCCTGGTTTGCACGCTGATAGGAGCTCCTCGTCGTCGCTGCTGACCCCGAACCATAGCCCAGGCTGTGGCAGCTTCGCCCGGCCGGGCAGGCCGCAGCCGTCGCTCGCAGAGATGCATAGCTGCCCGCGACCCACCTCAGGTCCGAACGTCAGGTCGCCTGAACGCGCGAAGGCGGCCCTCTAAGGGCGCAGGGAAAACAACCTAACGACTTGCAAGTCTACGATGTCAATCGGTCTACCGCTCATTCCTGGTAGGCAACATGAAATTCACATATTCATCGCAGGAGCGGCTGGGACTGTCAGCGTTTGTTGCCGTCACCTTCCAGTCATTCCAGCCCTTCCAGCACGCGAAACTTTCCAAACTAGTGGCCCAGGAAAATTCTTCGGTCTCCCAGGAACACGTGTGCCAACAGGATCCCATGCTAGAACACGTTGTTCACCCAACGCGTGTTTGTACGATTAATAACATACATCGCCAGATTCCAATGTTGCCTCAAGCAGTTAAAGGACCACAACTCCTCAGCAAACTCATCTGGTGGAGGCTGCAGCGATTTCAGCTTGCCGGCAGAGGAGGAAAGTAGCGACCTCACGTTCGACAACGATGATGCCTGCAACGCACGTTGCATTTTTGAAGCCTTCCAAACCCGTACTTCGCGGTGGTGCATACGAAAGAGCTGCATACTCAAAGCTCTACGCGCTCTGGCATCGCCACAAGCATGTCGTTGCCCTCGCAAGCTTTGCAGCCGCCGTCATGGCCAGAATTTCAAGTCATCAAGTTGGCACGTCCCACATCGAGACGCTGCAAATGAAAGAAGCTGTTCCAGCTCATCAAACGTTGCACGCTCATGATCAACCACCAAGGCTTGTAAGGCGAACTTGCATTCGGAAGCGTCACCTTGATCGTCCACAATTGGCCTCCAAGAGCGAAAACTGCGAGTCTTGCGTCGGAACTTCCGCGGAGCTGCCCCCGACCAATGACATTATATCGCGTAACGGATGTAGGAACTCTTGGTCATGATCACGGGGCCAAGCGGGTGAAGTGTCGGTGGGTGTACATGACAATGTTGCGTGTACAGCGTGCTTTTTCGGTTGGGATAGCTCAGGTCGGCCATCCATATCGATTCAGATGAGGCTGGCGGAAGGTCGCAAAAACACGACTGGGCGCGCAATGACAAGAAACAGATGCGCATCGAAAAAACAACGCCCGGTGTGCCTAACGGGATGCGAAGCAGTCCCGAGGTGCGTACAACGATGTCGCGGAGGCGAACCGGCAGCAGTCCAGAACAAGGATCAGGCTTGGTTCAGGCGTAAGCGGGCTCGCCGTGCAAGAAGCAATACAACGTGACCGCACGTTCCGGCGAGACGAGCATGTCACGTCATCAATGAGGCGAACACCCACTCCTCGAATTTGGGCCGGCCTGCACAACACAGATGGCAAGATCCCATGCAAAGTGCGCTCAGGCGATGGGAGCCGTTCGCAATTTCGTCGGCTTCTTGGTCGACTTATCTGAGGCTCGTAGCTACGTCCGACTTTGAACAGATGTGCGCAAACGTTTCCACTTTTGTTAGGTTTTGCGCGAAGTAGCCAATGTCGAAAAATGGCACTTGCGAAAGGGCTTCTTGACAAACGAACGCTTTGTACCACCTGCATGTGGCTGTGCCTCATCGGGACCTTTCTTTTGAGAGGCAATGCTTTTCGCAGGGTCGGACATAGTGTCGCACACATGTGAACTTTACGACGATGGTTGATATTCGATGTGCAGTGGTACTTCGGTGTCACATTACCACGGGCTCATGTATACCCGAATGCATCTGAACAACAAGCCCTAGCGACCAACGCCGTTCTAGCAATGCCGCATCGGAGTTTTTGCAGGTGACAGCCACAACGCAATCCACAACGTCTGTGGATGTCAGAACCCAAGGCGGAAGTGGTTGAATCCCAAGTTGGCCAAAGCGTGGACCAGAATCGTACACCGGCAGCAACTCTATTTGGGAACACGTCGTACTGGGCTTCATATTGTGGATCGGCCCTGTTGGTTTTGAGTATCGCGACATACTCCAGATGGTGGCCGCTGCACACGTCAATCGTGCACAAGCCTCAATTGCGTGTTGGTTGTGTGCAGACGGGGTTGCCATTTTGATAGCT